GAAGGAACGCCTCATACTCGCGAGGTCGCGGCCCAGGAGCCCCAGCCCGCGAGGCCGCGGAGACGGACAGACATGCTCTTCGTCCTCGACTGAACAGGAGGAGGTCATGCTAAGGGGACCCCCCCCGAAGCTCTCGGCTGGGAATACAGCTCGTCCTTCCCCTCCTCGTGCTTCCCCCGCCTCGCCCTCCCCCTCGTCCTCCCACGCCAGGGGCGTGTCCGGTCGACGGCGGAGACCTCAACGGAGGCCGCCGCGGGGGAATCATGCTTGTTCTCCGTACAGTAGGAGCTCGACCACAAGAAGCCCTCCAGAAGACACCCAACCCTGAGGCCCCAGGGCGTCCATTGATGTTTAGAGTGGGAACGCCACGCTTTCCGTAGCGAAACCATCAGAGCCCAAGAAACCCAGGGCACCCCGGAGGCAAGCAAGGTGCTTCTTGGCATGGGTTTCCACTGTAATGTTGGGGTCCCACCCCACCCATAAGCCCGCGCAACAAAAGATCCGAATATTCGGGGGAGGGGGTTGAAGACCTACAACGGCTCATGGAGCAACACATATGCTTAAACATAAGTTTTAGGAGTTCCGCGCGGACTTCTTGGATCGGCGCTTGAGCCCCCTTGCGGCGCCTCCGGCGCCGCCCGTGGCGCACTCCGCCCGACAGCGCCGATCCACGAAGTCAACGCGGACCTCTGAAAGTTCACGATGATTCGAGGGGCCCAGGGACACACAAATGAAGAGACGCAAATCCCAGGATGCCAGATATTTCCCTATATTTCCTGAGGGCTCGTCTTTCCCACCCTCTTCCCATACTTCCACATTTTCCGGGGAATCGACGATGAATTGTGTCTGTGTGTTTCCTCCTTCCTGAATGATGCCATTCTTGGCTGCTCGATTCAAGACACCACGGTTCTCTCTCGGCCGGCGCCTGCGCACCGCGGGCTCACAGGGGGGCCGCGGCACCCCGTCGACGGCGACGTCGACAGCCCCACGGCAGAGGAGGGGCGGGGAGGAGGGCGGAAGCGAAGAGCTGGCTGTGAGGCAGCACGCCAAATCGGGCCAGGGCGGGCCAGAACGGCTGCCCGCAGCATGCTAGAACATCTGCGCAGAGTCCAGTCGGAAGGGGAGAGCACCTAAGCGTCAGAGCATCGCAACGCCAAGGCAAGAAAGGTAAGTCTGCCGTGTGTGTGTGTGTGTGTCTGTGTCTGTGTCTGTGTCTGTGTCTGTGTCTGTGTCTGTGTCTGTGTCTGTGTCTGTGTCTGTGTCTGTGTGTCTGTGTGTCTGTGTCTGTGTGTGTGTGTGGGTGTGTGTGTGTGCGCGTTGTGTGTGTGTGAATGTGTGTGTGCGCGTTGTGTGTGTGTGTGAATGTGTGTGTGGGTGTGTGTGTGAATGTGTGTGTGAATGTGTGTGGGTGTGTGTGTGTGTGAATGTGTGTGTGTGGGTGTGTGTGTGTGGGTGTGTGTGTGTGAATGTGAATGTGTGTGTGTGAATGTGTGTGTGTGAATGTGTGTGTGCGCGTTGTGTGTGTGTGTGAATGTGTGTGTGTGTGAATGTGTGTGTGTGAATGTGTGTGTGTGTGTTTGTGTGTGTGTGAATGTGTGTGTGTGTCTGTGTCTGTGTCTGTGTGTGTGTGAATGTGTGTGTGTGGGTGTGTGTGTGTGAATGTGTATGTGTGTGCGCGTTGTGTGTGTGTGTGTGTGAATGTGTGTGTGTGAATGTGTGTGTGTGTGCGCGTTGTGTGTGTGAATGTGTGTGTGCGCGTTGTGTGTGTGTGTGCGCGTTGTGTGTGTGTGTGTGCGCGTTGTGTGTGTGCGCGTTGTGTGTGTGTGTGCCTGTGCGTGTTGCATGTGTATGTGTGCATGTGTATGTGCATGTGCACGTGCATGTGTAGTTGCGGGTGCAGGTGCAGGTATATGTGTATGTGTATGTGTACGAGCATGTGCAAGTGCACATGTGCATGTGCACATGTGCATGTGCATGTGCATGTGAATGTGACTGTGCATGTGCATGTGCATGCGTATGTATACGTGTACGTGTACGTGTATGTGTATGTGTATGTGTATGTGTGTATGTATACGGTCAAGGTCCGATATATAGCGTGTCTGTTGTTTCGGGCCTTGCGAAACCGAAGGCGTTTACACGCTAAGCAGCGCAGGGGCGTACACGCTAAGTAGGGTCGGGTGGAAGAGCCAAACGACATACACGCTAAGCGCTCCGAGACGCTAAGCGCTCCAAGACGCTAAGCGCTCATATACACGCTAAGCGCTCCAGCCCGAGGTGATCTACGTAGGGGGCTTTCTCTTCCAACCCTCTTCTTCCCTTTCGGTGAGGGGTTTACGCACGCACCCCTCCCCCTACGTACGTACCCCCATCCCCCTGGACCTGGACGGGGAGATTTGCGACCGATTGGAGATGGCCCAAAACGGCTCCAAGAGGGTCCTGGAGAGCCCTGGAGAGCCCAAGATGGCCTCCAAGACGACCCGAAGTTATTAATCCAAGATGGCCAAGATGGCTTCCAAGATGCTCCAGACCGCTCCAAGACGATTCCAGGTGGGCTTGGGGCCTCCCTTGGACGCGCCCAAGACGCCCAAATCCCTCAAACACCTGGTAAGGTAAATCAATGATTCTACGTAGCCCTTTCGACTTTTCGCGTCCGATGACCTTCCGAAGCCGTACGTACTTAAGATGGCCCCAGGGGGCCCAAGAGAGCCCCAAGAGGGGTCCAAGATGGCCCCAAGATGGACCCGAGAGCGTCCAAGAGCGCCCCAAGAGCGCCCCAACAGGACCCCAAGAGGCGATTTTGAGAGCTCCAGAGGGGCGAGGGTGCGTGCGGACCCCCCCATTCTTTGATAGATATCCTCCAAGATGGTCCCAAGAGGGCCTCCAAGGCCCCCAAGAAAGCCCCAACAGGCGCCCAAGAAACCCCAAGAGGCCTCCAAGAGACCCCCAAGAGGACCCCAAGCGGCCCCAAGAGACCCCCCGAGGCACCCAAGATGCCCCAAGAGCCCCCCGGGACCACCAAGAGACTCCCAACACGTCCCAAAAGGCCTCCGAGAAACGCCCAAGAGATACGTACGTATCCCAAGAGACTCCGAGACTCCGAGGAAGAGGAGGAGGGGGAGAGAGAAGTGTGAAAAACGGGGGGGCGCTCCAGCCCGAGGTGATCTACGTAGGGGGCTTTCTCTTCCAACCCTCTTCTTCCCTTTCGGTGAGGGGTTTACGCACGCACCCCTCCCCCTACGTACGTACCCCCATCCTCCTTGGCCCTGGACGGGGAGATTTGCGACCGATTGGAGATGGCCCAAAACGGCTCCAAGAGGGTCCTGGAGAGCCCTGGAGAGCCCAAGATGGCCTCCAAGATGACCCGAAGTTATTAATCCAAGATGGCTCAAGATGGCTTCCAAGATGCCCCAGACCGCTCCAAGACGATTCCATGTGAGCTTGGGGCCTCCCTTGGACGCGCCCAAGACGCCCAAATCCCCTACGTAGCCCTTTTCGACTTTTCGCGTCAAGTATCAGTTCCAACTCCGTCAGACGGAGTTGGACAAGGGTCTCACGGAGTCCCTCCTGGACGCTTCTCTAGGGCCCTCAGAAAGCTCCAGCAGGGCCCCGAGAGGGCCCAGGAGGGCCCCAAGACGGCCCTAAGATGGCTCCAAGAGGGCCCCAAGATGGCTCCAAGATGGTCCTAGCAAGTATCAGTTCCAACTCCGTCAGACGGAGTTGGACAAGGGTCTCACGGAGTCCCTCCTGGACGCTTCTCTAGGGCCCTCAGAAAGCTCCAGCAGGGCCCCGAGAGGGCCCAGGAGGGCCCCAAGACGGCCCTAAGATGGCTCCAAGAGGGCCCCCTCCAAGATGGTCCTAGCAAGTATCAGTTCCAACTCCGTCAGACGGAGTTGGACAAGGGTCTCACGGAGTCCCTCCTGGACGCTTCTCTAGGGCCCTCAGAAAGCTCCAGCAGGGCCCCGAGAGGGCCCAGGAGGGCCCAGGAGGGCCCCAAGACGGCCCTAAGATGGCTCCAAGAGGGCCCCAAGATGGCTCCAAGATGGTCCTAGCAAGTATCAGTTCCAACTCCGTCAGACGGAGTTGGACAAGGGTCTCACGGAGTCCCTCCTGGACGCTTCTCTAGGGCCCTCAGAAAGCTCCAGCAGGGCCCCGAGAGGGCCCAGGAGGGCCCCAAGACGGCCCTAAGATGGCTCCAAGAGGGCCCCAAGATGGCTCCAAGATGGTCCTAGCAAGTATCAGTTCCAACTCCGTCAGACGGAGTTGGACAAGGGTCTCACGGAGTCCCTCCTGGACGCTTCTCTAGGGCCCTCAGAAAGCTCCAGCAGGGCCCCGAGAGGGCCCAGGAGGGCCCCAAGACGGCCCTAAGATGGCTCCAAGAGGGCCCCAAGATGGCTCCAAGATGGTCCTAGCAAGTATCAGTTCCAACTCCGTCAGACGGAGTTGGACAAGGGTCTCACGGAGTCCCTCCTGGACGCTTCTCTAGGGCCCTCAGAAAGCTCCAGCAGGGCCCCGAGAGGGCCCAGGAGGGCCCCAAGACGGCCCTAAGATGGCTCCAAGAGGGCCCCAAGATGGCTCCAAGATGGTCCTAGCAAGTATCAGTTCCAACTCCGTCAGACGGAGTTGGACAAGGGTCTCACGGAGTCCCTCCTGGACGCTTCTCTAGGGCCCTCAGAAAGCTCCAGCAGGGCCCCGAGAGGGCCCAGGAGGGCCCCAAGACGGCCCTAAGATGGCTCCAAGAGGGCCCCAAGATGGCTCCAAGATGGTCCTAGCAAGTATCAGTTCCAACTCCGTCAGACGGAGTTGGACAAGGGTCTCACGGAGTCCCTCCTGGACGCTTCTCTAGGGCCCTCAGAAAGCTCCAGCAGGGCCCCGAGAGGGCCCAGGAGGGCCCCAAGACGGCCCTAAGATGGCTCCAAGAGGGCCTCCAAGATGGTCCTAGCAAGTATCATTCCAACTCCGTCAGACGGAGTTGGACAAGGGTCTCACGGAGTCCCTCCTGGACGCTTCTCTAGGGCCCTCAGAAAGCTCCAGCAGGGCCCCGAGAGGGCCCAGGAGGGCCCCAAGACGGCCCTAAGATGGCTCCAAGAGGGCCCCAAGATGGCTCCAAGATGGTCCTAGCAAGTATCAGTTCCAACTCCGTCAGACGGAGTTGGACAAGGGTCTCACGGAGTCCCTCCTGGACGCTTCTCTAGGGCCCTCAGAAAGCTCCAGCAGGGCCCCGAGAGGGCCCAGGAGGGCCCCAAGACGGCCCTAAGATGGCTCCAAGAGGGCCCCAAGATGGCTCCAAGATGGTCCTAGCAAGTATCAGTTCCAACTCCGTCAGACGGAGTTGGACAAGGGTCTCACGGAGTCCCTCCTGGACGCTTCTCTAGGGCCCTCAGAAAGCTCCAGCAGGGCCCCGAGAGGGCCCAGGAGGGCCCCAAGACGGCCCTAAGATGGCTCCAAGAGGGCCCCAAGATGGCTCCAAGATGGTCCTAGCAAGTATCAGTTCCAACTCCGTCAGACCAAGGGTCTCACGGAGTCCCTCCTGGACGCTTCTCTAGGGCCCTCCTCCTAAGATGGCTCCAGGGCCCCGGAGTCCCTCCTGGGGGCCCTCAGAAAGGGCCCCGAGGCCCAGGAGGGCCCCAAGACGGGCCTAAGATGGCTCCAAGAGGGCCCCAAGATGGCTCCAAGATGGTCCTAGCAAGTATCAGTTCCAACTCCGTCAGACGGAGTTGGACAGGGGTCTCACGGAGTCCCTCCTGGACGCTTCTCTAGGGCCCTCAGAAAGCTCCAGCAGGGCCCCGAGAGGGCCCAGGAGGGCCCCCAAACGGCCCTAAGATGGCTCCAAGAGGGCCCCAAGATGGCTCCAAGATGGTCCTAGCAAGTATCAGTTCCAACTCCGTCAGACGGAGTTGGACAAGGGTCTCACGGAGTCCCTCCTGGACGCTTCTCTAGGGCCCTCAGAAAGCTCCAGCAGGGCCCCGAGAGGGCCCAGGAGGGCCCCAAGACGGCCCTAAGATGGCTCCAAGGGGGCCTCAAGATGGCTCCACGATGGTCCTAGTAGGTATCAGTTGCCCGCACGAGGGCTCCCAGATTCCAGAACCCTCCCCAGATCCCAGAACCCTCCCAGAACCCCCCCAGAACCCTCTCCCTCCAAGAAAACTGCATGGAGCCTCGAAAGGCTCCCAAGAGATCTCCTAGAAATCTCTTCTCTCCTAGAAATCTCTTCTCTTCTCTCCTCATTATCATCATACGTCTCTCATCCCTCCTCAGGAGAACAATCATTGTCCTCCTCCTCATAACCATCCTCATCAGCCTCCTCATCATCAGCATGATCCCTCTCTTGGACTTGGACTTGGACTACGGCTCAAAGTCTACCGAGATTAGCCGGCGATGAGACTAGACATGCACACCTAATCTACCAACGAATTTTCGTACAAACGTCGAGCATTCTGCCAACGCGGCGGCCGCATGATCCCTCTCCCTGCCATCATCATCCCTCCCCCAGCCCCGAAAGGACATACACGCTAAGTACCACCACTAAGGATACACGCTAAGTGCGGAGCACTTAGCGTGTATGGGCGTCTCCCCAAAGACACGCTATATATCGGACCTTGACCGTATGTGTACGTGTACGTGTACGTGTATGTGTATGTGTATGTGTGTATGTGTATGTGTAGGTGTGTGTGTGTGTGCGTGCGTGTATGTGAGTGCGTGTGCAGATGTGTGCGTGTGTGCGTGTGTGCGTGTGTGTGTGATTGTGTTTGTTGGTGTGTGTGTTTGTGGTTGCTGTTGTGCTTTTGTGTGTTTGTGTTTGTGTTTGTGTTTGGGCTTGCGTCTACGCTTTTGTTTCTGTGCGCGCGCGGGTGTGCGTGAGTGTGGTGTGTATGTGCGTGTGTGTGTGTGTGTGCGTAGGTGCCCGCCGCTCGCTGTCGTACCTTCTGCGCCTCGACGCTGCGCGCGAGGCGGCGACGCCAAAGAGTGCGCGCGTATGTGCGTGTGTGTGTGCGCGCGTGTGCGTCGGGGTTCCGTCCCACGCGCCTGGAAACACGACGCAATCACAACTGTCTTCGCCAACCGCGTCCCACATCACCACACTCTCATATAATCCAGTCCTCCGCGGCACAACCGCCCCAGAGCATTCCCAGATCCACAGCACTGCCCCGAAGGAACCCCAGGGGTCTCCTCCCATGGTTCTGATCTTGCCTAGGGCAGGCTCGTGCCTCGAACACGTGGCCCTGACACTGTGCGAACCCCTGATTATCTTGAACGATCTCCGCTCTCGAAGGTCCACAGAGGCTGTCGACCGCATCTTCGTACGCTCTTCTCGCCGCCGCTTGCACCCCGAACCGACCCCCGACGTCGTGATCCTTCCATGACGTGGACCCACAGGGAGGTCTCGACCCATTCCCACGAATCGGCCAAGCAGATCTTGAGTCGTTCTGGGACCGCCGCTGGGCCCAGCGAGAGCCCCCGGAGCCCGAAAAACGTCAAAATCACACGTCGTCGTGCCGTTCCAAGACGCGAGCGAGTCTGGGAGAGGTGATTCCTCTTCGAACGCCCGCCTCGTCATCGCTCGGACGTCCATTCCCCGTGCATGTTTCGGCTTCGTGCGTGTATGTTTTCGCAAGATGGTCCTAAATTCTCCTCGATGGTCCTCGCCGAGAAAAAACGCACACGTCCGAGCGATGCCGAGTCCTCCAAGGCCCGCAGCCGGCGTCGCCACCGCGTGGAGGCGGCGTGCACCTGCTGCGTGAAGCCTCGGGGATATCGGCTGCCGCGTTCGGCCCTCGCCGGCCTGCAGGCCGTTCATCAGCTCCCGCCTCTGGGAAGCCGCCTCCAGCACCAGGCCGCGGAGGGGCGCCAGCTCCTCCGAAGCCTCGCGCGCGGGGGCCGAGAGATAGCTGGAGAGCCTGACGAGAAACCGGCGTGGGCATCACCTGTTGGAGGCCTGCGGGGAGCTCTCGGCACCGACGCTGGGCCCCCCCTCCCTGGCGCACGGGGCGCCCCAGGGCCGCCAGGTGCGCCCTGCGCCGATCCAAGAAATTCGCGCGGACCTCCGGACAGTTGTGAATGCCGATACCGTTTCGCGTTGTTCGAACTCGGGTCCCGTAGTGCGGACGAGGCGTCCAAGAACGCACACATGCAGCCGAAGGCAGGGCCACGAGAACACAAGCAAAAGGCAGTAAACGATCCAGAGGCGGCATCTGGGAGGCTTCCAGGTCCTCGGCAGAACGATGAGGGCCTGTTAAACCCGATCAATGGGGTCACTGAGCCAGACTGGCCCAGACCGAGCCCCAGATTCGGCCGGAGTATACAAGCGCGACTGAGACGAATCAAGCGGGAGCGTGTCGGATTTGGTCGGTCGGTCTCCGACGGACCACGGATACGGTGGAGGCCAGTCCACAAGAGACCTTCCACAAGAAACCCAAACCTGAGACCGCAGGACGTCCATTGATTTTTGGTGTGGGGACGCCACGCTTTCCATAGCGAAACAATCGAAACTCAAGAAACCCAGGGCACCCTTGAGGCAAACAGGGTGTTTCTTGGCGTGGGCCTCCACTGTATACCCGCGCCGATGCTGAACTTCACCGTCCAGGACATGCAGCCTGAGCAGGGGCCCCGTCGTGCGGAGGAGGCGCAACAAAAAAAAACTCCGAGGCGGCCGATGGCAGGCCCACGAGAAAGCGAGCACGGGGTGGCGGAAGCTGGCGTCGAGGGGCTCTAGATACGACGCGTGGATGCCGCAACCCCGCTGGCCTGGCAGACGCGGCAGGGTGAGCATATGTTTCACATGCACCCTGGCAGGCGATGCCCCGGGACTGTTTGTCTGGCGGGGGGGAAGCCGAAAATGAACCCCATGGGCCACCAGATTCCCAGACGCGTTCCTGCGCTGGGTGCGACCGTGCCGAACACAAAATCACTGCACAACCCCGCGGGGTGCGCTGTCCAATCGCCGAGGGGGGGGCGTTTTGAGAACCTCCAACGGGGTCTCCACGAGAATTGACCCGAGAGAGATCGGGGGACGCACACGGCCTGAACCCAAAAGCGCTGCCACCTCTCCGGGGCGCACATGTTCCTCTCGTGTTTTTTTGCAGAGGCTGCACCCAAACACCTCCCAGGCGGACGCTGCGTGAGGGGCCTCACTCAGGACTCCACTGCGGAGGCAGCGCCGCCGGAGCGGCACCCGAGCCCCCCCTCTGCTGGCCGAGGTGGCCGCCCACTCCGAGTTCGAATGCTCGAGGCCCCCCGACGCCAAGGAGAGGGGAGGGGAACGAGCAACAGAAGGCGGCGGGGGCGAAGGGGGGGGGGAAGGAGGAGGAGGCGGAGGAGGAGGAGGAGGAGGAGGAAGAGGAGGAGGAGGAGGAGGAGGGAGGAGGAAGGAGGGAGGAGGGGGAGGAGGAGGAGGAGGAGGAGGAGGAGGAGGAGGAGGAGGAGGAGGAGGAGGAGGAGGAGGAGGAGGAGGAGGAGGAGGCGGCGGCGGCGGCAGCACGGAGCCTCAGGGCACACCCTCCGCCCCTGCCAAGTACAGGGTTCCACCCGCGGAGTCCGAACACGACAAGCGAAGCTCGCACCCGTCTCCGCGCCCACGCGCCACCGACCCCGCGGGAAATCAGAGCAGCGGAAGCACACCGGAAACAGAAAACGTCGAACCACCAAATTGCATCATGCGCTTGGAAAAGGTCCGCTGGCGCGCCTGTAGAAAACTAAGCGTTCGCTGCGTCGGACGGACGGTGACTTGAGGACCCCATGGCAAAACTGCAGCGACGCAGAATCTGGACCCAGGACTTTACGCGCTCTGGCGTCGCTTGGGCCACTTGGTACCCTTGCCCTGGCCCGTCTCCACTCTTGAACGCCGTCTGCAATCGTTTCCGAGCAGCGCGTTTCCCGCCATGAGCCCCCCCGCCAGCACTATCAGGGCCCCCTTCATGTCTTGGTGAGCGTTGCACGCCCACGCCCACCGGATCTGGCCCACACCTCGGTTGCTGCGGTTAACTGCGAAATACCTCGTCGAATTGACCGTCACCGCTGTGTTCCGAGCGCGGGGTCCCTACTTCTCGAGCACGTACCTTCGCAGCCTCTGTAGCCTCGGTCGGGTTCGGGCCGCACTCTATGGCGCTCAGTACCTTTTTGTTTTCATTGGCGATGGCCTCGTAGGTTCTGGAGATGATCACCCTTGCAAACGCGCCTGGCTCCGTGCCATTCGGGTACCCTTTGAAAGTTCACGATCCTCTCCGCTCGCGTTCTTGCCCGTCTGCACGTAGTTCTGGTAGCCCTCCTCCAGCGCTGTTTCCATCTTTGCCCCCTCCTTCACTGCCAGCGTGAAATTGTCGCCCCTGGCTGCCGACTGTCGGGCGGCCTCGATTTTTAGCAGTTGGCGGCGCGTGAGTGCCAGGAGCTTTCCGCGTTGAGTGCTGTCGTCTTTGCTCCCCCTCGATCCCCCTAATTACCCCCATCCATCGCCCCGATCCACCCCCCATCCCTCTCCCAGGCCCCCCTCACCCGTCTACCGCCGCCCCGCCTCGTCCGCTCCCTCGATCCCTCCTCCTCCTCCTCCTCCTCCTCCTCCTCCTCCTCCTGCTCCTCCTCCTCCTCCTCAACCTTTTTCGGCAACCTCCTCGCTGCCCCTTCCCCCACCCCCCCTCGTCCTCCTCCTCCCCCCCCCTTCCACCTCCCTCGCACAGGCGCCGAAAGGGCCTGGGACGAGCGACGAGAGCGAGGAGGCCCCGCGGCGGACGGCGGAGGGCGCCCGAGGGCGCGGGCCTCCGCGGGCTCGGCGGCGAGGGCGGGCACGAACCACACCACGCAGGGCGACAGCGCCGTGACGGTGGCGCTCTGGCAGCTCTGCAGCCCCTTTGCGATGGGCCGGCGCGGGACCGCTGAGGGCGACGACCCTGGGATCCAGGCGTCCACTAGCGGCGAACATATCCGCACGGACCCTCCGATCTTAAGAAGGTATAAACTCTCCCCCGAGTTTATCGGCACCCCCCGGGATGCTACTCGTGACAGGCGATCCTGCCTCATCCTTCACTTTGCGTGTGACTTCATACCATCCCAGGGGGGGCCCTTATCGCTCCCCACTCATCCCAGGCAAATACTGCAATTCGCACACACTCGAGCGGATGATTGCGCGAGCAATGGAGTTGGCAACTCCAAGTTCTTCAAAATCAATTACCCAGTCTAAAAAATAGCAGAGTCGACTCCCCGGTTTAACGATCCACCTTTTATTGCAATCTGCAAATGATTATGCCCCAACGCCCATCCGAAATATGAATTCATATCATCCCACCCCAACAGGTACCGACACCCCTCGCCACCCCCTGCGAAAACACTACGTGCGCACTTTCGATCAAAAACCATTTGTCTTCAATGATCCCGGGCGTGGCGGACGCATGCGGGCACCCCCACTGGGGCCTTCGGTGGAGCTCCATATGGGGCCACGAAGCGCTGTACTGGGTGTGGCGGACGCATGCGGGCACCCCCACTGGGGCCTTCGGTGGAGCTCCCTACGGGGCCACGAAACACTGTACTGGTGACGAACGCATGAGAGCAACACGGAGACATCCGATGAGGGGCGTCCGTCTTCGATACGGGTGCGTCCGAATAGCTCCCAGGGGTTCAATACCCGTTCCCCTTTTCTTCTGAGCGGCTTTTTTGGGGTGGGGAGAAATTTGGGATTGGTGTCGACAGATCGCCTATGAAACTTCCCCATCTCCGAGCCTGCCCCCCTTTGCCGGGGGCGTCTGAGAGGGGGGCGTCCAAGAGGGGGGGCGCGAACTATGCCTCGACGCATGTACGCGGCCCAGGTGGAGTCAAAGGACGCATTGAAAGAAGAAGATGGACAATGATACCCAAGGAGATATCATGCCCCCCTCCATGATATCCAGTCCCCCCTAGTCATCACACCCCTCTTGGCCGCCCCCGATCTCTCGCTGCCACGGAGCAGACGATGCGCGGAGCGGCCCCCGAGTAGGCCCAGGGCGGCCGTCTTCCGCGCCGCCGCGCCGCGGGGCCGCCGTGCAGAGGGGCGGGAGGGGCTCGAAGCCTTGCCTGCCCTGATGTCGATGCTCGGTGTCCCCCTCCTCACCCTCCTCCCTCTTCATTGACCCCCTCGTCCCTCCTCGTCCTCCTCCTCGTCCTCGACTCCTCCTCCTCCTCCTCTTCCTCCTCCTCCTTCTCCGCCTCCTCCTCCTCCTCCTCCTCCTTCTCCTCCTCATTCTTCTCATTATTCTCCTCGTCCTACTGAAGACTAGCGTTCGTGATCATTCCCATTCGAACAGTCTGCTTCCAGCCCCGTAGCTTGCGTGCAACTTGAATTAAGAGAGAAAACACCAACACCGGCGATCTAAAACTGGGAGCCGGCGGAAACCGTCAACCTTGGTTACCGCCGGGAACTCTTCACCGCGCTCCCCCTCTCCTGCTTGTCCTCCTCCCTCCCTCCCTCCCTCCCTACCTCACGCCTCCCACATCCTCCTCATTCTCCTCGTCCCGCCTCGCCCTTCCCGTGACCCCCCTCGAAATCCCTCAAACCCCCACCGGACTCCCTGCATAGAACTCTTCGGAGCCAACTCGAGCCCCATCAATCCACCCTGAACCTCGCCTCCTCCTCCTCCTCTTCTTCTTCGTATTAGTATTATTATCAGTATTAATAATAATAGTATTATTAATACGATTATTATTATTATTCTTATTATTATTCGTATTATTAACATTATTATTACGCTTCATAGTATTACTCTTCTTATTATCATTCGTATTCGTATTCCTGTTATTATTATTATTACTCTTAGTATTCGTCTTTTTATTATTATTATTATTATTATTTTTCTTCGTATTAATATTATTACTCTTATTCTTTATACTATTATTATTCTTATTATTCGTATTATTCTTAGTATTCTTCTGATTAGTATTCTTACGATTCGTTTTGTTATTATTATTATTATTATTCATCTTCTTCTTACCTATACAACCACCCTTCGGGTGATAAGGAGGTTCGGGGGGGGGGGGACCAACGTCTCACTCGATCGGTCTCACTATCGATCTCTGTGTCGATCTCACTATCGGTCTCGCTCGATCGATCTCACTCGATCGATCTCACAATCGATCTCACTCGATCTATCTCATTCGATCGATCTCACAATTGATCTCACAATCGATCTCACAATCGATCACACAATCGATCTCACATTCGGTCTCAATATCGATCTCACGATCGATATCACAACCGATCTCACAATCAACGTCATCATCATCATCATGATCATCATGATCATCATCATCATCATCATCATCATCAGCATCATCATCATCATCATCATCATCATCATCATCATCGTCATCAACATCATCAACATCAACATCATCACCAACATAGTCATCATCATGAGGGCACCGTCATCATCATCATCATCATAAACATCAACATCAACGTCAGCATCATCATCGGGACAACATCATCATCATCATCACCATCATCATCTCATCATCAACATCATCATCATCACCGGGACACAGTCATCGTCATCATCATCAGCAGCATCATCAGAATCATCATCATAATCGGGACACCATCGTGATCACCATCGTTCTCATCATCAACAGTATCATCAACATCGTCATCATCTTCGGGACGTCATCATCATCATGGCCATAGCATCATCATCATCATCATCGACATCATCATCATCAACAACATCATCATCATTGAGGCACCATCATCATCATGAGCAACATCATCATCAACATCGTCATTATCACCATCAGCAACATCATCATCAACAACATCATCATCGGGACACCATCAGCATCACCATCATCATCATCACCATCATCATCAGCATCATCATCAGGACACCATAATCATCATCAACATCATCATCATCAACATCATTATCGCCGGGACACCATTTCCATCAATATCATCATCACCAACATCATCAGAGTCAGCATCACCATCATCATCATCATCATCATCATCATCATCGGGACACCATCATCGTCATCATCATGAACATAATCATCATGAGCATCATCATCCTCATCACCGGGACACTATCATCATCATCGACACCATCATCAACATCATCATCATCTTCATCGGGACACCATCATCATCATCATCATCATCATCATCATCATCATCATCATCATCATCATCATCTTCATCATCATCATCATCATCATCATCATCATCATCATCATCATCATCTCATCATCACCATCCTGGCGGGACACCGCGGGACACCGGCGGGACACCGCGGGACACCGCGGGACACCGCGGGACACCGCGGGACACCGGCGGGACAGCGCGGGGCCCCAGCCGCCCGGAAGGGAATCATTTGGTCCGGTCGCGCCTCAGCCACACGGGACACCAGCGGGACACCGGCGGGACACCGCGGGGCCCCGGCCGCCCGGAAGGGAATCATTTGGTCCGGCCGCGCCTCAGCCACAGGAGACTTTCTCTCGTCCGCCCACGCAGCTTCGCCTCGCCCGCACGGCACGCACGAACACGAAACCGAAATCGATTTCCCGTTAGGGGGGCTCGCCGTGCCACTTCGATCTCACCCCCTCACATCCGATTCCTATTCTTCTCATTATTATTATTCTACTTCGGCTTCTTATTCTTATTCTTAACAATTCTTGATATTCTTCTTATTATTATTATGCTTCTGCTTCTGCTTCTGCTTATTATTATTATTAGTATCATCCTTCGTGTTATTATTGTTATTCTTCTTATTATTATTGTTAGTCTTCCTACTCTTCTTCTTATTATTCCTCTTCCTCTTCTTCTTCCTCCTCCTCCTCCTCCTCCCTCCTCCTCCCTCCTCTTCCTCCTCCTCCCTCTTTCTCATCCTCTTGACCCCGTGCTCGGAAAGTGGGCGCACCATGAAGATGCACTCGTCGAAATAGTGCGGCGCCTCGAAGACGGTCTTGATGTTGTTGGTGGTGATGCGGGACACCCTGCCCTAGCAGGGGTCGAGCAGAGCAGGGAGGATTGCCAGAGGTTTTCGAGAGTTCTCAATTACCCTGTGACGTACCCAACCCATTTGTATCAATGGAAACGAGGAGTTGGCCGAACCTTGCATGGACAATCAACTTGATGTGTAAGCTACTTGGGACACGCGCCTATGGCATGATGCGCAGGGGAACCATACAAGAACGAGGGGCGACAGCTACAGGCTCGAAGAGGACATGGGGAGTCGGGAACGCAGAGCAGGAGAAAAACGTGCGGGAAGCCGAACCATCAGCACGGCAGCAGCAGAGGGAAGGTGACTGCAGGAGGAGAACAAGGACGAAAGCGGCGGGAGAAGAAAGAAAGGTGACTCTTTTTGTCGGTTGACCGTTGAAGGTTTTTGTCGGTTGACCGTTGAAGTGGCAAGAGTAGCTGGCCAACATGCGGTGGGTACCCACTGTGCTGTGCCCCTCAGCAGCCCTCGAAGGTGGCGACAGTTTCACAGATCGCAGCCCCCCAGGGATGGTGAGGTCTAATTTGAGCCTGCGGTGAGTACCCACTGTGCTGGGCCCCTCAGCAGGCCTCGAGAGTGGCGACAGTTTCACAGATCGCAGCCCCCCAGGGATAGCGAGGTCTAATTTGAGTCTGCGGTGGGTACCCACTGTGCTGTGCCCCTCAGCAGCCCTCGAAAGTGGCGACAGTTTCACAGATCGCAGCCCCCCAGGGATAGCGAGGTCTAATTTGAATCTGCGGTGAGTACCCACTGTGCTGGGCCCCCCAGCAGGCCTCGAAAGTGGCGACAGTTTCACAGATCGCAGCCCCCCAGGGATGGCGAGGTCTAATTTGAATCTGCGGTGAGTACCCACTGTGCTGGGCCCCCCAGCAGGCCTCGAAAGTGGCGACAGTTTCACAGATCGCAGCCCCCCAGGGATGGCGAGGTCTAATTTGAATCTGCCGCGTTACCCACTGTGCTGGGCCCCCCAGCAGGCCTCGAAAGTGGCGACAGTTTCACAGATCGCAGCCCCCCAGGGATGGCGAGGTCTAATTTGAATCTGCGGTGAGTACCCACTGTGCTGGGCCCCCCAGCAGGCCTCGAAAGTGGCGATAGTTTCACAGATCGCAGCCCCCCAGGGATGGCGAGGTCTAATTTGAATCTGCGGTGAGTACCCACTGTGCTGGGCCCCCCAGCAGGCCTCGAAAGTGGCGACAGTTTCACAGATCGCAGCCCCCCAGGGATGGCGAGGTCTAATTTGAATCTGCGGTGAGTACCCACTGTGCTGGGCCCCTCAGCAGGCCTCGAAAGTGGCGACAGTTTCACAGATCGCAGCCCCCCAGGGATGGCGAGGTCTAATTTGAATCTGCGGTGAGTACCCACTGTGCTGGGCCCCCCAGCAGCCCTCGAAAGTGGCGACAGTTTCACAGATCGCAGCCCCCCAGGGATGGCGAGGTCAAAATTGAATCTGCGGTGAGTACCCACTGTGCTGGGCCCCTCAGCAGCCCTCGAAAGTGGCGACAGTTTCACAGGTCGCAGCCCCTAGCAGCCCTCGCAAGTGGCACAGGGATAACCAGGTAGGAAGCAGGCTGACATGCAGCGACGAGCGAGGTAAACGGCAGGGGGGAAGAGAGGGACGGGAGGGGGTGGGAAGGAGACGCGCGTGGGAAGGAGACGCGCGAGCAGCGCTCTATTCAAAACGACAACCCAACGCAGGAGGGTTGGGAAAAAGAGCATGGTAGGTTTCGCCATACTCAGAATATTCCAATTCAGACCATGTTTGCTTCTGTTCGGATGCGTTCGGACATGTTCGGAATCGCCTGACGCGTTCGACAGTCTTCGGAGGCTGGCTTCCCATCTCGGAATGCTTTCGCATGCTTTCAGAACCATTTGGAGGGAGGCCTCTAGCAATGATCGGAACCCTTCGGAGGCGCATGGGTGCCTTTGAAGGGCGGGGGATGACGTGAGAGGATGAGATGTCAAGGTGAGCGGCGGGAGGAAGGGCAGCGAGGACAGAGGGTGAGGAGGGTGCGGAGGAGTAGGGGGAGGAGGAGGGAGGAACAGGAGGGTGGGGAGGATAGTAGGAGGGAGGAGATGAACGGATAAGCAAGCGACAGGACTGGCGGGCGGGAAAAGGCCTGCTCCTGCGTGGATGCGGACCCCAGGCGCTGCCGGAACCGTTTCCCAAAATCTGCGCTTAGTCCTGGGCCGCTTCCTAGAAGGCAACTCATGGGAGGTCGTCGTAAAATTGATAGAGGGCTATGGAGCCCGATGGAGGGGCCATTGAGCCAGACTCGCTCAGATTGAGCCCAGAATTGCACCGGATGGAACGGGATCAAACATCACCAAAAAGAATCATGCTGGATCTCGCTCGTGTGGAATACCAGCGCCGCTGCCAAGCCTGACGTCCCAGGAGCTGCACCCTCGCTCACCTCCCCAGTTGGCCTGGGAGCCCGAAAGCACTGGCGACACCTCCAGGGGCTCTCTCTTCCAGGATCCCCGTCTTCGCGGCGGCAGCAGGAGGATGACGGGGGGAGGGGCCCCACATCCCCGACTCTGTCGGACTTTCGGCACGATGGGAAGCTTGCCACCCAAGCCCACCCTTGACAAGGCTGCGTCCCGATAGCCCCCCCTGGGGGTGGGGCCCCGAGCTCCCCCTCCCTCCTGAACGGCCACCTTCTTCGATGGGGGAACTGGGCGATTCGGGGGAGAAGCATCCGGCCCCTGGCGCTCTCGACGCAATCCCCGGGGCCGATGTCGATCACCTGGATCCGGTTTGCTGACGACCCCCGGGCCCGGAAGCTGCCACCGTACGCCGACAGGGGCGAAAGACCTCCGGCCCTACCTGTCTCGAGCCGTCAGAGGCTCGGGCCTCCCGACAGGGGAGCTTCCTGCAAAAGGAGCGGGAAGGAGAGGAAGGGAGGGGAGGAACGAACCGAACGAACGAACGAACGACCACCGCTGCGGACAAGCGTCCGTGCCTAGCTCAGACCACAAAAGTGCGCGGTACTGACTTCCTGAACAAAGCTCCAACGCCATCGCGGTGTGATCAAGCTTGACGCCAATACTAACAACACTGAAAGGCTGCAAGACGTCATCAATCCTCAGCGGATGCCATCCGACTGACTGGGCGTTAAGCTGTGCAAACTAGACCTTACAAAACGTGAAACGGAGAGGAGGCGGAGGAGGAGAAGGAGGAAGAGGAAGTCCTCGGTGTCGCTGTTGGCGCGTGCTTCGTCTCGACATCTCGCCATTGATCCTGGATGCTTTCTCCCGTGAGGTCGGTGCACTGGTGCTCGAACGTCGTCCAGGAAGGCGAGGTGAGGAGCAGGGTGGCAACAGCAGCGGGAGACGGCCAGCCTTCTCCTGCGGCACGCCGGACCGAGCCGGACCGAGCCGCGGGATCCTCAAGGGTGCCTCGAGGCGGGGCGAGAGTGCCGGTCGTAGTGTCGCCACGACGCCTGGGGACGTGGGGGGAGCGTCTGCTCCCGCTGCGGGGAAGGGGGCCTGAGCGGCGCAGAGTACCGTACGGTAGGAGATCGACTGCAAGAGACCTTCCACAGCCAAACCCTGAGACCCCAGGACGTCCATTGATTCTTGGTGTGGGAACGCCGCGCTTTCCGCGAGAAGACCATCGAAACCCAAGAAACCCAAGGCACTCTGGAGGTGAGCAGGGTGTTTTTTGGCATGGCCTTCCTCTGCACGGGCCCCGGATTCCTCTTTCGAAGATTCCTCATCCCATGCCCTCACCGCACGGAGTCTGGAGGGGGCCTCTGCGGTCGGAAGCACTGAATAAACATAAACATACACTTTCGGAGCTCCGCGCGGATTCCTTGAATCGGTCCTGGGCCATCCCTGGCGCGCGGAGCGTGCCAAGGGCGACGCCGAAGGCGCCGCCAGGGGGGCCCAGCGCCGATCCAAGAAATCCGCGCGAAGCTCCAAAAGTCTGCGCTCATGCCCTTGTTTCTGCTCCGATGGCCTCTCCCGTCCGCTCTCCGTTCCCCTCTCCCCCTTTCCCTCCTCGTCCCCTCCCCCTGGCGAGGAGAGGCCAGAGGCTCCAGAACATTGTGGTTACGAAGATGGCCCGCCCTCGATGGACGCAGCTGGAATCCTCCTCCTCCTCCTCCTCCTCCTCCTCCTCCTCGAGTTTTGAGTTTTTGGGGCGTCGTGGGGACGAGGCCGCGGGCCAGAGACGGGTCGCAGCGCGGCCTCCATCAGCAGCGCCATCTCGTTGCTCGGCGTGCCCGCGCTCGTGATTCTGACGCCAGTGAAGTACACCTGCGGGGGGGGGAGCAGGAGGAGGAGGAGGAGGAGGAGAAAGGATTGCACAGCTCGCTGTAGGCCAGAAGAGTGCCTAAGCCCACATCTTTGGGGATGAGGCGCTCGTCGGCGAAATGCTGGAATATGTGGGGCAGCCTGCAGGGAATCCGTGGCTGCCAGAACCCAGCAGATGCCCGACGGAGGAGGGGACGGGAGGGGGAGCCTCCAGGGGACCTCCCGAGACCTTTGGGGAGTGGACGGGAGGGGGATGGAGATGGAGGGAGCCTCGTTGTAGACCTCCCGAGAGCTCACGAGGCCTTTGGGGAGGAGTGCCAGGAAGAGGAGGAGCAGAAGGCGGAGGATGCAGAAAGGGAGGGGACAAGCTCGGTGCTTGCGCGCAAGATCTGACACCCTACCTCCCGCCCGTCCCTTCCCGTTTCGCTCATGCGTTTTCTCTATCCGCGGATGGGTGCCCTACCTGAGCTGGATCCCCCGAACGACCCTGCTGGGTGATGCGCACGCAGAGAAGGGAGGGGAACCGCGCACACGAGGAGGCGCAGCAAGAGCACGAATATGAGGAGCGGGCAGGGCATGGGGAGAGGGGAAGGCGGAGGATAGACGAGCGCGTTCGGCTACTCGCAAAGCAACTACTCGCAAATGGCCTGGATCCGCCGCGGGAGATCTATTATAAATCTCAGCGAAACGAACATCTGTTTTCGTACGTTTGCGAGTAGGCACTTTGCAAGTAGCGGAACGCGCTTGGTGAGAGGAAAGGAAAGCAGGGTGGGCGACAACCAACAAGGAGGAAGGAATCCGATCCAGCAATGTGACCTGCTAGGGCGAGAGCGCCATTCCAACGAAGGGAGCAGAACACCGATCCATGCGGCCATCGCTACAGCGGGTTCACCTTCACGAAAAGGCCGACAACGTCACGAAAGGAAGAATTCATACCAAAAGCCGACTCCAGACAATCCTGTAAAAAATACAGTTGCGGGATAGGCGGTCGAAAAGAAAGGCAGCATCAGGGGAGCACAGAACATTGTATTCATGTTTAGTCGTTGTGGAGGGTGTGGGAGGGGGGGGCGGGGGAAGAAGCTGGGGCGTGGAATGGAGAGACCAGAGAAAAAAGAGCCGCAAGCATCAGTATGTACAGTTCCACACATAAACATGTATGTATGCAACTATATGTGTTAAGTCTGTGCACGTCGGTCTGAATAGATAAGTACAGCTGTACACATGTACATTTAAATATAATACTAGTATGAGAAAGAATGAACTACAACCACGCGCGCGTGCTTCGCGCGCGCCTAGGTTCTAGCCACGCCCAAGAAACTCGCACCGCAAGTTGCCAAGGAGGAATGCAGAGGCGATTCTGGAAATCCTTCGGGGGTGGTAGAGGGACCTGCGGCAATGAACTCTTGTGATCCCGACGACGTGTCGGGCAGTACTGAGCTTAATCGACATGTCTTGCGCTTCCTGGTATCCACCCGAGGACTGGAGGAGGAGAAAGAGGAGGAGGAGCTTAGCATGGAAGCAGTTTGGGGGCCTCTTGGGCTGCCTTGGAGCCCGCATGGGGTCACGCTGGGGCCATTTTGGGCCTTTCTTGGGCCGTCTTGGGGTCCTCTTCGATCGATTGGGCCGTGTTGCGTTCCTTCGAGTGCCATCTTAGGACATCTTGAGCCGCTTTGGTGGCCATCTTTCGGCAAGATTAACTTGTCTTAGGCCCATCTTGGGCCCGGTTAGGGCTCTTTTGAGCCGTCTAGGGGCGAGCTCGGAGGTCGCTAGGGCCGTCTTGGGCGCATGGCTCTCGAAGCCTGCTCGATTTCCTCCTTTCCGACCCGAGTTAGGGGCGGTCTTGGACCTTGGAGGCCTCTTAGGTCGTTTTGAAGGCATCGTGGGCCGTCGTGGGGCCCTGTTGGGCCGTCCGGACGCACTCTTGGAGCCAGGCCTTTCTCCAGCGATCTTGGCATGCCCTTGCGCCCTCTAGGAAGCTGCGGCGGCGAGAATCTGGAGACCCGGCAGACACACGTGGGCAGGAGCTGCGCTACGGGGGAGGAGGGAGGAGGGAACCGGGATCCGACGTCTCGATCAGATGCAACACCGTGAGAAATCACGGCCAGAGCTCTGGACCCTATCATTCTGCGTCATTTTGCGAGCCGGACAGGTCCGTGAGGACCCTGGGGGCCCGAGATAGGGCAGAATCGCGCGGCGTGAAGCAACTGCGGCGAGAGGATCTCGGGGAAGGGCGAGGGCGGAGAGAAAGCAGAAGCGCGGGGGGCAGGGGCACAGGAGACCCGGATCCCCTCGACGTCGTGACTTCCCCGCGGCGTAAGCCCCCAGCGGTCTAGATCCATTCCTCGGGTCCGGCTCTTCCACCCCGAATTGTTTCCTGACGATCCCAGAAGACCAGGCGAGGGTCGAAGGGGGCCCAATCCGAGGAAAAAGGACATAAAAAACGCCGGAAACATGAGCTTTTGGCGCTCCGCGCGGACTTCTTGGATCTGCGCTGGACCCCCCGTCCCTGGCGTCATTCTTGGAGTCGCAAGAGAGGGGCCCGCGGAGGCTGGAGAAGCGAGGCGCCGGCCTGCCGCCCCAAAATGAAAAGGGGGCGGCCCTGCGGCAGCCCGGCGGCGGCGCCAGAGCGCCGTGCAGCACGACTCTGCAGCTCGTCATCGGAGGGAGGCCGGCCATGCGCTCGCCTGCACACGTCGGTCGGAAGAAGTAGGTACGGCAGGTTCGTGTCGTGCCGACCCCAGTGTTGGTTCTTGACACCGCAGGGATCGTTCAACCTTGAACGATCGGCCGCTGCCGCAACGTCGGATCGTTCAACATCGATCGATTCTGGGTCGCCCGCGGCGTTCAACCTTGAACGCCCGCGCTGGGGTCGCCGCTGGTCGACACGACGCGAACCTACCGTAAGTTGATTGAGTCCAGGCCCCCCCAAGGAATAACAAAACACAGCAAAAGCGTGCCGATTCTTGAAGTAGGAAGACGCTTCAAGTAGATTGGGATCTGGGATTCCAAAATTACCTACTTTCAGCGACCGGCGTGTAAGCGCACGAGGGTAGGATCGGGGAGACGTAAGACTCGGGTTCGGGGGACTCGGGCTGGCCTGAGAGGGCCGTCACGGAGATGACGAGGGCCAGCCTTAAATCTGAGGCGAGCTCCCGCTGCAAACGTCCCAGGAAAACTGGACCGTCAAACTCCAAGACTCGCTCGTCAGAAGCGTCGGCAAGCCCGAGTCTTGGCGCACTCGAGTCTTGCGTTCCCCCGACAGGGGCCAGAGGGCGCCGGAGCTGGAGGGCGGAGGAGGTGGGCGGGGGGGAGCCTCCCTCCTGATGCGCTTCGAGACCGTGGCGCCGTGCTCGGAGGTGAAGTCCTGGCCCCGAGCGGGGGCGGGGGGGGAGGAGGGCGCCAGCACCTCGAGGCCCCAGCTCGGGGCCAGGAGGGGGGGCCTCGGCCGAGGGGCGGCGTGCGGGTGGAGGCACTCGCCTGGGGGGCGGCGGGAGGAGGGGCGCCCTCGGCTGAGGGGCGGCGTGAGGAGGGGCGCCCTCGACTGAGGGGGGCCCTCGACCCAGGATCGGTGGCAAATCGTCGATGGATCGGCGATGTGCCCCCGATCGCGGAGCCGAACATTTCCTGGGCGGGGGTGGGCCTGTCGGGCCCCCTTTCGGCGATGAGGGGACGAGGGGGGGGGGGATCGATGCGCCCCTCAGCTGAGCCTTGCGTCATCGCGCTACCAGGAGAGACACTGACTGAAGAACGGAAAGGCTTCTCGGGCCACTGCGAGCCCCGGTCACGAAGGAGGCCCCGGACCTAGACCCAGGTGCGGTCCGAAAACTACGGCCCCTGCGGAGCCCAGAGGGTCGATGCGTCCCCAGACTGCCCCCCCACCCCCAACGCTGACCCTGGTGGGCCCTCGGGCAGGGCAGGACACCATCCCTGCCATCATCGTGGTGGGTCGGGGAGGCACATCCGGAAGAAGAGCAAGTTACATAAACAAGACCCGCACGGATTTGTTGGACATGCGCTGGAAAGCCTTTTCCTGGCGACGGTTCGGCGCAGACGCGACAAATCTGCGCGGACCCTCGAATGCTCTTGTCGGTGCCGATGTTTCGTCTTGGCGCGGCTTCCCTGTTTCGGGGGTGGGCAACATCCTTTTTTGCACAACGCCTTCGAATGAAAGCTGCCAGGGACACTCCACGTGCGCACGGCACCGCATGCCGAGTGCACCCCACCCGGGTAGCTAACGGACGTTCAAAGGCAGCCGAGCGTACTTCCAGCAAGACGCACGCCGATAAGCGAGACCGACCAGGGCTGCATGGACACGTTTGGACCACAAAACAAACGGCACCACCCCACCTACGACCTACGGCCGTAGCGTATACCAGGACGTCTGGCGTGGGTTTTTACATGGTATACGCTACGGCCCCTGATGGGCCGCAGCGCAACATGGAAGGCCGTAGGTGGGATACTATCATGTGTTTCTTGGCCGAACATTCGCACTTGTAGGACAGCACAGCCCATTCCCACCCTCAGCCAGGACCCCCACTCCCGACCTGGTGATCTCAGGAATTGGGCTGGGGGTGAAAGTTGCTTTTTGCCCCCAAGAACCTAAAAAACACCCCCACCCCCAGCCAGGACCCCGAAATCACCAGGTCGGGAATGGGGGTCCTAACTGGGAATGGGGATGGGCTGAGCTGTGCTCATACGTATGACAATGTCGAATGAACCCGCGCAGATTTTCTCTGTCGCCTTGTCTGGGCGAGCGTTCTCTCAATTTCCACGTTGCCATGATACCGCGCCCGCCCATGTCACCGACTCGCATTGAAGTGCCCGGTGGGAAGGGCCAAGCGGTCGCGCCACCGCGGCCGCGTCGGTGCCGCCAAACTATCTGGCCGCCGCGCGCGAAAACATGCGCGGGCTAGCGCGGCCGCGAAGATGCATCAGCCAACTCCAAGCATTCATCGCAATCGCCGCCGCATGGGCTTTGCAAACCAAGTTGCGAGTGGGTGGGTGGGATGAGTGCGCCAGCAGTGGACTGGACAACTCACTGCGAACAACAATTAGCTGCACCCCAAAGATTGCACCACACAGGTTCTCCTTTCTAAAAAAATAGACTCTACCCCACCCCCCCCGGCGTTATCCGCACCCCTTTTCGGACATGTAAATCATACATGATTATGACCACATGTCCATCCTAAATATGAATGTGCATTATCACAGGGGGGCGGTATCGCCCCCCCTGAGGTTCCCTTGTAAAACAACAATACGCGGATACATTTTTGGCTCGAACATAAGACTTGTTCACGAATCCCGTGCAACAAATGGGACGAAGAACACACGCGCGAGTTGTCGCGCGCGCATGCCGAAATCCTTCCAAAACCTTCGGTGTCGGAAGGATTTCGCAATCGAGTTCCCCAAAAACATACAACAACACAGGGTTTCGCAACACGGAGTTGTTAAAAAAGCTTACGCGCGAGCTCTTGCGAATCCTTAAGAAAACCATAGGTTTTCAAGATTTTCGCAAAATGCCACCAAACGGGCTTCGCGCGCGCGCTTGTCGAAATCTGTCGAACGCCCTTGCGCGTGTGCCGTCGCGAGAATCTTCTGCAAAGACAGGACGAATTGCAGGCGCGCGCGTCGTCGCGCGCGTATGCCGAAATCCTTTGTAAAAAAAACCCATCGGTCCCAGAAGGATTTCAAAACCGTGTGTCCAAGACACCTACAAAAACACCAGGTTTCGCAACACGGATTTTCAACAAAAACGTGCGCGCGCGCTCTGCGGTCGTCGTCGTCGTCGTCGTCGCCGTCCTCTCTCCTCCCGCGTCGTCGTCGTCGTCGCATACGTCGTCCTCTGTCTTTCCTCGTGTTCGTCGTCGTCGTCCTCTTTGGCGTCGTGGTCGGTTCCGTCGTCGTTGTCGCCGTGGTCGTCCTTCTTCCTCCTCCCTTGTCGTCGTCGTCGTCGTCGTCCGTCGTCGGCGTCTCGTCGTCGTCCCTCCTATTTCGTCGCCGTCGTCGTCGTCGTCGTCGTCGTCGTCGTCTTCCAGCCTCCCTCGTCGTTGTCGTCGTCGACGTCGCCGCCCTTCCTCCTTCTTCGTCGTTCGCGTCGTCGCCGTCCTCCCTCCTCCCTCGTCGTTGTCATTGTTGTTGTCGTTGTCGCCGTCGTCGTCCTCCCTCCTCCCTCGTCGTCGTCTTCGTTGGCGACGTCGTCGTCTTCGTCGTCGTCATCTTCGTCGTCGTCGACGTCGGCGTTGTCGTCGTCGTCGCCGTCGTCGTCGTCGTCGGCGTCGCCGTCGTCGTCGTCGGTGTCGGCGTCGTCGAAGTCGTTGGAAACGTCGTCGGTGTCGTCGTAGTCGTTGTCGGCGGCGTCGTCGTCGTTGTCGCTGTCGTCGTCGGCGTCGCTGTCGCTGCCAAATGCCATGCGGTACCCACCGTCACGGTCTCAAGAGATTTTGCAAACCAAGATGCGGGTGGGTGGGTGGGATGTTTGCGCGAGCAGTGGAATGGACAACTCACTGCGAACAGAATTAAATTGCACAACCTAGATTGCACAACATGAGCTACACAACAACACATTGCACAAACTAGTTCGCACCGGCGAATTGCACTGCGTAGCCTCCACCACATCGTTTGCCCCACAAATATAGCATACATATACATACACACTGCAAAGAATAGACTGCACTACATAGATATACACAACATGTGATGCATCAGAAGGTTATGCCGCATATGTTGCACACCATAGACTGCACCAAACCTACATATGGCACCACAAAAATCGCACCACATAGTGTTAACAACATGGATTGCACCACAAAGATTGCACCAGATTGCTCCTCATCTGTAAACAAATGTCGGATCGACCTCCCCCCACCCTGGACATAACGGTCTACCTTGTCGCACTGCAATGTACATAAGATTATGCCCCATCGTCCGTCCGAAATTTGAATTCGCATCATCCCTGGCAGGCCCGTATCGCCCCCCCGTCATCCACTGCAACGAATACGATGCGCGCGCAAACTCGCCAATCAGAAACCATGTGTGTCCCAGAAACCGTTCTGCGAGAAAAGGACGAAGTGCACACGCGCGTCGTCGTCGCGTCGTCGTCCGAAATCCGTCAAAAAAACTTCGGCTTCGCAAGGATCTCAAAACCGAGCGCCACGAAAACATAAATAACACGGTTCCGCAACAAGGGTGTTCAAACAAAAAAACTGAAACCTCGCTCTACCGAGTTCTTACAAAAACCATAAGATCCTCAAAATTATCATACGCGCGCGCATGCCGAAATAGTCCGAGAACCCTGTGCGCGGACGGCACGCACGCGAAAATATTGTAAAAAAACACCTGGCTGTGCAGCATGTGTTCTCGTTGACTTGTTTAACGAAGAATGCGCTCGCGGCCTGGAAGGTCCTGACGAAAAACCAAAGTTTTCAACATGTTCATCAAATGCTGCAAGACGGCCCTCTCGCGACGCATGTCGAACTCATTCGAACGCCCTTGCGCGCGCACGGTGTGTGTCAAATAATACCACGCGGGCACTCGCGCGCGTCAGCCGCGCACGCATGTCGAACTCCTTCAAAGACCTTCACCGCCGACGCGAAGACAACGTCATTGTTATCGGAGGGCGTGTTCAACATCGGCACCGTCATTGGCATGGCCGTCGTCATCGCCACCATGATCACCATCATCGCTACTCGCAAATTCGTGTCTACCGTTGTCGGCGTCGCCATGGCACCGCGCCTGCCGTAGTCACCGACTCGCACTGAACTGCCCGCTGGGAAGGGCCAAGCGGTCGCGCCACCGCGGCCACGTCGGTGCCGCCAAACTATCTGGCCGCCGCGCGCGAAAACATGCGCGGGCTAGCGCGGCCGCGAGGATGCATCAGCCAACTCCAAGCACTCATCGCAATCGCCGCCGCATTGGTTTTGCAAACCAAGTTGCGGGTGGGTGGATGGGACGTTTGCCAGGGCATGGAATGTGTTAATTCATTTGTAAAAACCAATTGCATCACGAAGATTATACAACATGGGTTGCACAACATCGATTGCATCAATAGGCCCCACCACATAGATCGCACCACATATATTGCGCCACATACTTCCCCACCCTATACTCCTAGAAGCACACACTGTTTGAGGTCCGCACTGGCTAACATGTTGCTGGTGTCCCTCTGCCAGGGCGGAACTTATTTGTTTGATGGTCCATGAATGCTGGACCCGAGAGCGCCACGCGTGATCGGAACTCGCATGCAGAATCACTAGAGATCATGCCCCTGGGCCTCAAGCTCGGCCCCAAACCATGTCCTGGAGCGCTTACTGAATAGGCTTGAACTGACGACGACGACGATGACGACGACCGCCAAAGAGAACCCCCGAAAGCGAGAACAGTGGAAATCCTCATCAAAGATACGACGTATGAAAGATCCGACGTCACGATGTATTTTCATGACGCGGGCGCTGGACCACGCCAACCCTTCGCCAGGACCAGTTGCTCATCCTAGGACGGTAAGGAGTTAGAAGGCAATTTCTCCGAGTTCTCCGTAAGGTCGAGTACGAGCTGTCAAGCCCGATTCAGTGGCCATTGCGCCAGATTCAGTTCTGGGCAAAGGGGGTCCTTACTAATGGGGTCGCAAAGAATATACAATAGTTCATGCTCTGGTTCATGGGGCGTAACCTCTCGCACCGACCAAGAATGCCACATGCAACACAGTCTGCCCCCATCCAACACGATCCAGCACGAACGATTGCACGAACTATTGCGTACATGTTTGAGAACCCCTTTGCAAAGGATCCATTAGCCCGAACCTGACAGATTCGACTAGATCTCGCTGGACATTGCTGGACCACGCGGCATTGAGCGGAATTGGACGGGATTGTGTCGGACCATGCCCGTTTCCGACCGCGTACACAAGCGCCAGTACTGAATCCAACCTCCCAGGAGCTGCATCCTGACAGGAGGGAGGGCGCAGGAGGGGCGAGGCCGAGAGGTTGGAGGCGGCCGGGGGGGTCTCAGCTGGATTGGCCCCGAGAAAATCGGCCACGCACCTCCTCCTCCTCCTCCTCCTCCTCCTCCTCCTCCTCCTCTCCTCCTCCTCTCCTCCTCCTCCCTCCTGCTCCTCTTCCTCTCCTGCTCCTCCTCCTCTGCTCCTGCTCCTCCTCCTCCTCCTCCTCCTCCTCATCCTCCTCCTCTTCCTCCTCCTCCTCCTCCTCCTCCTCCTCCTCCTCTTCCTCCTCCTCCTCCTAGGCCAAATCGGCTCAACATCGGTCCACGGGCCCCTCCCTGGGCCCATCTGGTGCAGTTGTTCACCCCCTGGAACAGTTCTTCACGGGCCTGGGCCCTGAGAGCGGCACCCGGAGGTGGGGCGAGGCAAAAAACACCTGCTTGCAGCCCAGCACCTCCCACCTGCCCCCCCCCCCCTCCCCCCTTCCTGCTGGCCAGAACATGTGCTGGGCCACCTCATCCACATCCACTGCCGCGGGGTCGTACCCCAAGGAATCGAGGAGCGATGGGTATGGAGATCTGGCCGCCCATGCAGGCGGGCAGATACCCGTATCCACTGAGCATCGTTTAACCGATCCCCATTCCCGCCATCGTGGGCTGGGCCCAACTGGCCGATTTACCCCCCTGATGGGGATATAGGCTGCTCTCCTCGGGTTTCGAGTTGCATATCCCCAACTGAGTTGGTGAGACAATGGGGCTCGAGATGTGGATAAGGATGGAGATAGGAATCGATTAAACGATTCTGGTCCACCACTCCTCGGAATACCAGGGCACGACTCCGAAGCGGTGGACATGGCTAAAATCTGGCGGTGGACTCAGACCCCCAGCCAGCTCCAAACGACGGGAGAACGGGCGGCGGCGGCCGCACGCGAACGGCTCCTCCGTGGCGAGCGCCTGGCCCATCAGCCGCCGCAGGTCGGACCACACCTGCCCCTCGGCCTGCCGCGGCGGGGGGCGGCCGACGAGCTGGCAGCGGGGCCGCACGGCCGGCAGTACCTCCTCTTCATCCTCCTCCTCCTCCTCCACCTCCACCCCCTTCCTGATGAATAACTCCTCCTTGTCGCACCCCGATGCGTGTCGGTATGGCGGGCTTGGCGTTTCGCCGGAGACTTCCTCACCAGTTATGGTCCTTCAGCTGAGAATTCGCGAGAGCTTCGCGGATGTAGGGCGGTCTGGTTTCAAACTGTGGCTCTTGCCTTAGCGCCGAGCGCACTCGTTGTAAAAATGTGCCGAAACTTCACGGATGTGGGGCGGGCTGCTCGCACTAGCAGCCGGCAAATTCATGGCAAAAGTTACAAGACCTTCTCGGATGGCGGGCGGTTCCTTTTAAAAATGTGGTTCTCGCCTCTGCGCCGCGCGCACTCGTTTCAAGAGTTTGCGTACGACGGTGTCAAGAATTCTCATTGTTCGGGCACCGGAAATGGTTTGTTTGCACGATGTCGCACTGTCAGTGAGCATCAGTTACGTTGATCCGCGGTGTTGTTGAAGTCCCAGGAATGGCGCTCTGGAGCGATTCAGCATCGTCAAGACGCGACAGTAACGGTGATTCGCGGCGTTGGAATCACAGGAGTGGCTTTCTGGCACAGCTCCAGATTTGCAATCGGTTGTACTCAACGGGGCACTTCCCTCAGTGAGAATAAACCCGTGCATGGGGCCCACGAGAGGAAACTTGGCGGGAGGGTTATTGCAATATCGTTGATGGGCCTTGAGTTGGCACTGGTCCTCCTCCTCCTCCTCCTCCTCCTCCTCCCCCTCCTCCTCTTCCTTCGTCTCCTCCTCCTCCTTCGACTCCTCCTCCTCCTCATCGTCTTCTTCCTCCTCCTCCACCTCCTCATCCACTTCTCCCCCCTGTTCCTCCTCGGCACTGGGCACTGCAGCATTATCGTTGATGGGCCGGCACTGGTCCTCCTCCTCCTCCTCCTCCTCCTCCTCCCCCTCCTCCTCTTCCTTCGTCTCCTCCTCCTCCTTCGACTCCTCCTCCTCCTCATCGTCTTCTTCCTCCTCCTCCACCTCCTCATCCACTTCTCCCCCCTGTTCCTCCTCGGCACTGGGCACTGCCAGCATTACGATCGATGGTCGGAGCTGCCACGTTCCTCCTCCTCCACCTCCTCCTCCTCCTTCTCTCCTCCCCCTCCTCCTACTACTACTTCTCCTGCTACTACTACTACTACTACCACTACCACTACCACTACCACTACTACTACTACTACTACTACTACTACTACTACTACTACTACTACTACTACTACTACTACTACTACTACTACTACTACTACTACTACTACTACTACTACTACTACTACTACTACTACTACTACTACTACTACTACTACTACTACTACTACTACTACTACTACTACTACTACTACTACTACTACTACTACTACTACTACTACTACTACTACTACTACTACTACTACTACTACTACTACTACTACTACTACTACTACTACTACTACTACTACTACTACTACTACTACTACTACGACTACTACTACTACTACTACTACTACTTACTACTACTACTACTACTACCACTACTACTACTACTACTACCACTACTACTACTACTACTACTACTACTACTACTACCACTACTACTACTACTACTACGATTACGACTGCTACTACTACTACTACTACTACTACTACTACTACTACTACTACTACTACGACTACGACAACGACTACCGGGGACCTCCTGCGGCCCCTCGCAATAGCTGTCGATGAGCGCCGGAGAGGGGGGGGGGTGCTAGCAGCAGTGGCGAATCGGCGTCCCTGGGGAGGGCCCTGCAAATGACTCCGCTGGGTGCTCTTACAATTCGAGTCGCAAGGCCCCAGGAGTGTCGCGGGATTGCCGCCCTGTGGTCTGGTGACGACGATAAGATGACGTCGACCACGACCACGACGAAGATTACATCTCACTGGTGTCCACCCCTCGATCTGCAATGGTGACAGAGGCTCGAGAGGCCCGTCGGTTGCTGCTCAGCGCGCTCACGGGCGCCAGAGAGCGGACAGCCGCATGTCGAGCGACAGCTTCTGACCTCAGGGGCTGCGCGCGAAGCCCCGCCCCCCCCCGCTCCCTGCCCTTCCTCATCCGAACGCAACTCGAGCACTATATCGCTGAACGGTCAGTGATTGAGGATTGGCAATCTCAACGGTTCAGGGACATGTGGTTGACAGATTATGGAGCGATCGCCCCTCTTCCCTGCATGCCACGCGAACTGATATGTACGTTTGGCAGCAATTCGACCTGCAAATACACGCCATCACAAAAGAGGCGCCGAGGCACGTGCCATCGGTGAGCAAGCACCAGGCCGCGCGGCGGCACAGCTTGAGTAGCTTGGCCGGCACGATCTCGGCCGGCTCGACGGTCCAGTGCGGCAGGTGCCGCATGCGAGCGCGGCCCCCGCCGACCTGTGAGCCGCCGTCATGCGGTCGGCGATCCCAGGGACCAATCACTTCGATCGGACACATTTGGGATAACGATCGGTGCATTCGATCAAAGAACATCAATCGGCCGATCTCTCTCTCTCTCTCTCTCTCTCTCTCTCTCTATCTCTCTACTTTGTCCCAGGTGACCGGGGGAATATGGCCTTGGAAGAAATTCGAACGCCCAGCTCCGCGCGCGCGCTCAGTCGCAGCTCTCCTGCTAAAACTAATGTTATATATATGGGCTGGAATTACTCGGGGAATCGCTCCCCGAAGAATTTGACCCGTCGACGAACCCTGTCGGGCACGACAGCGTTGATCTGGCGAACTGTCCACTGCGGAAGATTTCGCATGCGCGCGCGGCCCCCGCCGACCTGAGGGGGCCCGCCGTACTATTGGCGATCGCTGAGATCGATCACTGCGATCGGGCACATGAGGAGTAGCGAGCGACGCCGTCGATCAACGGATCTCACTCAGGCTACGCATCACGACATGTTGCGAGCTTACTTTCAGGATGCGCCTTCGCAAGACTCTGCCCACCGAGCCACGCGCATCCCTTGAGTCGCTGCAAGACGTGCCTCAGCGCACGAAGGCATTGACCTGCATCACGCTAGAAACCGCGATATATTATGAAGCTGGAACAAAACCAGGCATCACGATCCCAAGATAGCGGTTGACCAACGAGCCCCGTCCGTCGACTGCGATCTAAATGTCGGAACCTCATGAAGTTTGTACACGCTGAACTTCATGACGCGCCACATGTCGATGCCGCGCCACCACCTTCAAACGCGGGAGGAGGGGGGGCAGAGGATGAAGAGGAAGTCGGTGATCTGAGGATTGAGAGCCGCTGCGCAGAGCACATCAAGCATAGTCCTCAATCCCAGCTCGCCATTCCCCGACCGTAGCCGACTGCGTTGTCGCGATCGCATGGGGGGCACCGCTGACTGACGCAGCAATGAACGCGGATGCGATTGCCGAGGATAAGCGCCTGCGCGAGCCTATCCTTCACCGCGATTCCGAACGGATGAGTGCTATGGAGATATGGACGACGCGCAAGGAAGAGAATTTCCAGACAATGCTCCAGTTACATAGAGAGAGCGCATCTGGCTGCTATCGGCCGCCGCCAATCGTCGCGCCCCCACCCGACGCAAGCGAGGGACAGCGCGGCGCGGGCGCTGAGGTCGACGAAATTATGGTCGTCCTGCGGCGGAGCCGTGAAAACTAGATCGAGAACAAACGGAGCCCGCGCGGATATTCAAACCGCCCAAAGAACAGATGATTATGTCTAGAGTTTTCAGAAGCGGAGGTGTTCCTATGACTCGTGCAGAACTCATCTACAAATGTCCTGAATCGTAAGGTGGACGACCTTGTCTCCACAGAACTTGGCGCTCCGCAGGTCAACGTGGCCACAGATAACCTGCCAGCGACAGAGCAGGAGGAGCGAAATTCACAACGCCTGGCTCATTCGTGCGACTGACATCAAATCGTATGTAGCAAGAACATGGGTAGCCTAAGACCTAATTGACATCGACGCAAAAGGAAACTGCATGCAAGGCGCCGCTCAAACTTCCCAGGGCCCCGCCGCGGATCTCCAGCGGCGGCCCGGACGCCTCCGCCGCATCGCGCGCCTCGTCTGCAAGTCGCCCGCAGGCCAACGAAGGCGACTTGCTGAAGCTGCAGATGCGGTCGCCGCCAGGCGGGGTCATCTGCGCGCGGCGGAGAGAGGGGGCAGGGAGGCAACTATGCGCCGCTGTCGCGCCTGGCCGACGCTCGCCAGAGCCGCGAGAATGGCGCGCTCTCTGGCGGGCGACGCCAGCAGAAGCTACGCTCCTTTCTCGGGGGCGAACGCAGGCCAGACAAATCGACGGTGCACGAAAAAAAAAAACAACCTGCATCTCTCGCCCGCGCAAACTCGGCCACGTGCGCGCAGGCCGCGTGCGCGAAGGCACATGCGGAGTCGCGCTGGTGCAGGGAGCACTCATAAACCTTGGACATCAATGTTTTACCATAGGGGACAATGACAGACTGCAGATCGCGATCGGGTTCGAACGGTGAGCCAGTAAACTTCGATCGCTGACATCTGAGGTCGAAGAAAACAGCGATGCCGAAAGACATCTGAGCTCGCAGCAGATTCCGGCCATGGATAGTCATCGTCGGCACACTCGCTAATCCAGGCAGAGCGGCTCGAGAGGCGGCACAGAAACGACATGGCGGGCACTGATGCGGCCGACGCAGGTTCATCGGGGCAGCAGTTCGCTGGACCTGGCCCTTTCGAGAAAGGCAAAGGTTAGACACAATAAAACGAAATGAGAAGATTGACGAAGCGCCCCAATCTCATTGCAAATTCTCGCAGGTCGCCTGCTACATCGAATGCATGTGCAAATTATGCAGCGCTGACGTGAATGTCCGACAAACTACCTGGATCAACCCCGCTGCCCTGCCTTCATCTGCCCGCGCCATGTCGACTCCTTCTCCTCCATCCTGCCCCCGCCTCCCACACAAAATTC